TTCACTAAGAGCCAAGGGGGTCATTGTCATTCTCGCAGGGTTTTTCATATTCTTTTCATGTCCTAAAATATTCATTAATACGATCTCCTCATCCTGCAATGTGCATAAAATGTCCTTTGTTTAAGATGTATGTATATATATATAGCAGTGTTTCCATACATTGATTTTTTGGGCGGCTGCCACAATTAATGTTGTTCCGCCACAAATGGATCTCATAAAAAAAATATATTTATTAGTTAATTGTTTTGTTTTTTTGTTCTTTTTGGTAGTAATGGAATTGTGGTGGTGGGCTGATAATGGGGAGGTGGCTAGTTCAAATCCTGCCTGGAACACCACTACTTTTAGTGTGTGCCACTTGAGTAAGGCACTAGCCTCGGTACTCCAGGGAGAATGTTCCCTGGTTAATGGTCATTGTAGTCGCTTTTTGGAATAAGGGCGTCTGGGCTAAATGCCTGAATTGTAAATTGTAAATGATATTTTTGGGGAATCACCCCACCAGATCCTCAACTTCGGTGTGGTCTCACTCATTAAACAAGCACACAGAGCACAAGATCGTGTTACAGGTATAGCATGAACCGCTGTATTATCTATTTTGAGGGGGGGGTGGAATGTATGACCACCCAAATAGGTTAAGGGTCCCTTTGGCTTATGTCCTTGTCCCCGGATGGGGGGGAAGTGCGGTGCGGTGCGGTGCCCCCACAAATAGAATCAAATTCTGTGGGAAACACTGTACAGTATATATATATATATATATATATATATATATGTATCTTATATCTTGATCCAAAAAATAAATCTGTAGTTCAAATAGTATAAATATTGTATTCAAAAAAGCATAGTGCAGATTTTTCAGGGTTAGACAAATTCAGCAAATGAGTTCTGCAAAAAAAGGTCAAATTGCGCTCAGCTCCAAAACGTTATGGCTATGTTTTGCGCTGTATGGGATGGGTCAGAAAGCGGTGTCAAATGATGCTCAGTTCATGGTTGTGAACAGCTGTTTGTCATGTTAGTTGCTTAACCTCAATTCAGTTAAGATGTTACCGTAATAACTGTTTCCTACATGGAGACCAACAGGGCCACATTTTTGTCAATTTAAAAGACAACATTGTAAATGGTAAGCCAAACTGAATGCTGAAGCATTTGAGTTTTTCTTCAGGGAAGCATTCTTTATCTTTCTGTTACTTTGTCTTTCAAAATCTCACATTATTCAGCCTGCATTTGTTTCCATACAGTACTGTAGTTTCTTTTGATAATTGCCTCAGTTACATTACACATATCGTATTATATACCTTTCATGTTTTTCCACTGCTTCTTTCTTCTTGTAGGTGTGGTTTACGGCTACAAGGGTCTCCTGCTGCTCCTGGGGATATTCCTGGCCTACGAGACCAAGTCCGTCTCCACAGAGAAGATCAATGACCACCGGGCCGTGGGGATGGCTATTTACAATGTCGCTGTGAGTCCAAAAAAGAAATGGCACCGTCACGATTAAACTCCTGTTTCTGGATGCTGCCTTCTGCTAAAAGCACAATGAATAACTTTAACGTGGCTATAAATATGATTTTTATGACCCATATTATAAAATGGCCGTACTATAACTGTGGGTGGGTTAATCAATGCAACTGCCTCCATGATTACTCTGTCTGAGGCTCATGTTTTTTTTTTTTGCTTTACTGCTCATTTCAGAGCAAAAGAGGCAACAGACCAGTGTTGGATATTATATCTACACAAGCTTAAAAGCTTCATTCTCGAGGGGCTACTCTTGTTTCTGCTGTTTTGTTATATAAGTTAATGCAGTTCATAGATAACGTAATGCCCCCTTAATGCGTGTGGTGTATATTCCTTTTTTAAGTAGATAAGTGACTGAACATGACACAACAACACATTACAGTATATCCTATGAGGATAAAATGTAGTTCAAAGAATAAATAGGCTTTCGTCTCAAAATCAAGATTTCTAAATTCATCGTTTGCATCCATCTTTATAAATCACACAACACAAAGTCCCCTGTGGGCACAACAGAGTATTCATGTTTATGATTCCTTGCGAAACAACCTCTGGGATGTTCTGAACATTAAAGATTAATGATGTAGTATCAAATACAGAAATGTACATGTTGGGTACAATGATCGGTTAGAGCAATAGGAGACACAGAAACACTATATCAAATATTCAAGCTTTCCCAGAAGCACATGTTGAGCTTTGCTTCCTTAAAATGCAGATCCCTCCACGCGTTCTAATCCAAATCATAATACTTCCAGAACAGGCTGCTGTATGTACGAATCATACATGTTGATGCTTATGGTGGCTTTGAACGACCATCTCATGTGACCTTTCACGCAATAAATATTATTTCCAATTGGACTACCTGTTGAAATAAAAGTGAATAAGTCAAAATAAACTGAAAAGTGAAACACTAAATCTTTATAGTGCTGCAATCTCATGCTGAGCATAAACTGTATATGGGAAGGAAACTAAGTGCAGTTTGGGTTATGTGTTATGGTGTGTGTGTGTGTGTGTGTGTGTGTGTGTGTGTGTGTGTGTGTGTGTGTGTGTGTGTGTGTGTGTGTGTGTGTGTGTGTGGCAGGGATTGCATTCACACAGTGTTTTGTATGGAGCTGTTATACTGCCCTTTAGTCGGAATAGGTTTAAAATTGCACCAATTTAGCAACTAAAGTTCAGTGGTAAAAACGCAGCCGTCAATCCAAACCGTTTCTCTGCTTTTGTTAATAGCAAGCTACTCATCTTAAACGGAGGCACCTAGGATGCACTTTATTCTGCCATTATGTTCACTTTAGCCACTTTAGACAAATACTCGCTGCCATTTCCTGACACTCTTGACACACGGTAACTTTGTAATTGATGCAAAATCTACAGAAAAGTGGTTTTCTGTCACTTTAACTGCCAGAGGACTTTTTAGCTTTGATCAAAAGCAGGCAAACATTTTTTAATTTGTTTTTAAAAAGGCTTTTTTGCCAGAATTTCCTGCACTCTCCTTGATTTACTTTCAAAAAGATACGATTCTAATGACCATCCACCAATTATCAGCTTATACTTTAGTAATAAATAAAAGGATTGATGTTAATCCTCAGCCTCAGTCACCATGGATCCATCAATCATGGTTATTCATGAGAGCATTGAATGCAGCTCGCATGCTCATTTCATCACATGGTTCCGTAATGTGAGACGAGCCTAATGTTATTATTTTATGTTCTGATATAGACATCTCAGTTTTATGACGATGTCAATAGTTAATGGCGTCTGTGAAGAGCCCTCCTTCCTCTTCGCTAAGCTGTGAGCTCCAGGCTCTGATGAGATGACAATGTGGTGATTGTCAGCGCGCTGTAGCCACTTCAGTCATGACTTTTTAATGCTGTTTTCACATGGGAGCCCTCCCCGGAATGATAAACAGATGCCTAATGCTTTTATGCATGTGATTCCCCTCCCTTTCTCATTCTCTCACACTCCAACTCTACTTCATTCTGCACCTCCTTTCTTCTCACTTCCCCTGCTTTCTTTTTTCTCTCGACTTTAAACAACACTTTCTCCTCCTCCTTTCTTTTTTAACTTGTGTTTCTTTTCGTTTCCCTCCATCTGTTTCTGTCTCTCTCTCTGTCCTCCTGCAGGTGTTGTGCCTGATCACGGCTCCGGTGACCATGATCCTGACCTCGCAGCAGGACGCTTCCTTTGCCTTCGCTGCTCTGGCAGTCGTCTTCTCTGCCTACATCACTCTGGTGGTGCTCTTCGTACCCAAGGTGCTCTGACTCCACCCTGACACCTTTAGCAAAATGCTGCACCCACTAAAGGATTCACTTGTTTTGCACAAAGGTCAAAACGTGCCAATCTCAGTGTCTTTAGGGAAAAGGATGCCTGTACTGCAATGTGCATTCAAATGACAAAGCCCTGATTCTTCGTTCCGACTGAAAGCTGTTTTTTTATGTTGGGTGCAAAACAATATTGGTGTTTTTGTTTAATATTTGTATTAATAGTATAATATAATATAAGAAAAACAATGTTGGTTTATGAGAATCAAAGTCAAAAAGTAGAATACAATAATCCAATCAAAAGGCCTTACTCTGTACAACCTGCACATCTGTTTCTTTTTTGTCTTTGACACTGTAGGTGTTGTTTAAGAATTTTTTTTCGTATGTATTAAGCTATTAAAACTATATTTTGTTATTTAAAAAAAGTGTATCATGACATAAAAAAATAACAAAATGAAGAGTAAAGTATTCCACTAATGTCACACATAAATAATATTTAAAATGTCATAAAAAAAGGCCTTACTCTGTATAAACCTAGAAAATAAGACAAATCAAAACAAGAGAGATACAGGGAGGGTCCAGCAGTCAGGGGCCTGTGATGTTAAAGAAGTTAGGAAAGATTATAGAAATGATCAAAGTTAGCTCTCACTGAAGATCTAATCTCTTAATCTTCTAATCCGTCTATGATCTCACCATTATGGTAATAACCTGTGACATTTCACATTACTTTATGAATGTGTGCCTGCATTAAATAGTTGGTGTTAGGAAAACAAAATGATTTGACAAACAAGTGAGAAATGTTAATTGTTTAGTTTGGAATGAACAGAAGAAGAGCTGGGTTGTGCACATGATGCAGACAGAGGAAAGAGTGCCTACAGAAAATATAACCACATTAACAGAATATCCAATGGAAACACATCACAATAGAGAGCCAAGCACAACAAGAACGCCTTTAGCCTTCAGGCCATTGAGAGAGACTTGGCTTTAAGGGCTGCAGATATTAAAACAAATGTATAAGATGCATTATTCATTCAGCCAACCGTGCTCTCAAGCCTTATCTTTGTGCTTTATTGACTTCCTGTTCCTGTGGCGGTGCAGATGCGGCGTCTCATCACCCGCGGCGAGTGGCAGTCGGAGCAGCAGGACACTCTGAAGACCGGCTCGTCCACCAACAACAACGACGAGGAGAAGTCCCGACAGCTGGAGAGAGAGAACAGGGAGCTGCAGAAGATCATCCAGGAGGTGAGGCGTTATACCGACACTTACATAGTTTTATTAGTTTAAACAGGAAAAGGAATAACACATTACATTGTGACTTACAAATAGAGACATGTTTATGGAATCATGTATCCTTCATCGCTTTATAATGTATGCAATACATTTAAAGGTGGGGTAGGTAATTCACTTCAGAAACACTTTTTGTTATATTCCATGGAATGCTCTTAACATCCCGATAGCAATGCATACATGAAATGCTTTGACAAAAAATACATAAAAAAATCTGTGGAAGCCGTGGTACTGTAAAAAGCACGACCAATCATCTGAGCCGGCCCGGCTAAAATAACTGGATGGCCTACCTGTCTGTCAGCCTTCCATCTGTGCACAAACTTATCTCGTGCCCTCATTGGTCATGTGGGCGTTCGTGTGTGTTGGAGGAGGGGCTCTGTAAGGAAGGCTGAAGGAAAGGGCAGATTTTTCTCGGCTGCGTACTTTCAAATTCTAATGCACTCGAGCTGGTTTCTCCATTCTTACCTACCCTACCTTTAAGTATTTTTGATAATATAACATTATTTCCATAATTAGCTTTCACACTAAAAGATGTGAAAGATCGTTTTTAAGCATTCCTCTTTTATTCAATGTAATTATGAAAGTTTAGCTCCATGAAATTACTGCAAAAAAAGTAAAAAGGTTTGAAATGTCTTCAGTAAGTCACTTATATGTCTGAGAAAAAAATTATTTTCACGATTATTGACTTATAGTATAACCTATAATATATACGTGTTCATAAAAATCTATTCATAAAGTTTTAACTGTTCATATAATTGTTCACAACAAGAAACACATTACGTAATAGTTAAATAATTTCAATGAGGTTTAACAGCAGTGATGGATAAAGCAGCAAAGCTAACCTCAGCAGGTAAGACGTTCCAGAGATCTGGGATCTGCCATCCGATAAACGTGACGACATTTTGTTAACTGCTCATCATAGTTTCCCAGAGCCTCGGAACTCTGAGAGCAACAGTAGCAACAGTTTAATATATTTTATTTATTATCATATTCGGCCAGAAAAAGATGCAAATCCTCATTTGAGAAGCGGGAACTAGCTTAATGTTCTGCGTTTTTGCTTGAGAAATGACTATGGCGTGTAACTGTACTTATAAATGCTACACAAAGTTAAAAGATACCTGGATGTCTAGTTGAAAAGGGTTGTTTTAACTTAATTGAGTTTCAAAAGAACATTATGGAAAATGTCCCCGTGTAACCGATCCTGCTCTGCTAAAGGTGTCACTCCTTGTGTAAAATGCTTTTATTTATTTTTATTTAATTTACTATTACTAATTTATTTTTTATAATGATCTTATTTATTTCCTTATTTTAACTTAATTTTATTTTTTAATTAATTTTATTTCATATTCTGTTTTACCATATTATGATTTTTCATTTGAATGGAACATTTCAGGATATGTCTTGATTTGTAAAATTGAAAATAAAAAGTAAATATAACCGTGTCTCTCTTCTCTCGTTGTGTCTTCAGAAAGAAGAGAGAGTTTCCGCACTCCGCAACCAGCTGGCTGAGCGACAGGCTTTACGCAACCGCCGCAGACCCTCCTCTGGCCAGAATCAGAACCACAACACCCCCCCGCCCTCTTCCCAGCCCGACCCCAAGTCTCTGCTGCCCCCGCCCGGATACCCCAACCCCACCACGGACAATCACTCCCTCCCGCCTTCCTTCTCCAACTCCTCCAACCTTTACCCGGCCGACAGCAAGATGAGTCGCAACCACTGTCAGAACAGCCAGATCCCACTGCTGTACAAATAGGCAAGGCACCGGGAGAGGGGAGGGGAGTGTGGGGGGAGGGGAGTGTGTGGGGGGGGGGGGCAACAGTCACACACACACACAGGGACACAAAACACAATGACACACTGTGACTTTCACTTGTTTGGGGCACAGCGGTGTAGTGACACTGTTTTAAAAAAACGGCGTGGAAGCACAAATAAGTTCACAGGAGCGCTGTACACGCGGCAGCTTCGGGGGGGATTGCGCAGGTAACACCCGTTCCTCACAGTTTTGATCTCACTGCGTCCGACCCAGCAACGAGGCACTTGTGACTGTCCAGACTAGCAGCACTCGAGGTCCTTTTTTTTTCAAAGTGAACAGAAAGGTCTCTTAATCATTCCTCTCCCCCATTCGTTATCTCGTTCTGTTGTGGAGACACCTCGCCGAGGATCTTAAAAGGAAACGTTTGTGTCTTTGTTATATCGTCTCCACCGTTCGTCTCTCGAGTTTGTTGACTAGGCAAGCACACACAGTAGTGGTTTATATTGTTCTGTAATATCTGACCTGTTTTGTCATGGGGTTGTTGTTAAATGATTTGTTTACTTTTCAGGGGAGTTGTGGAAATGGAATTTACAAAAGGGACAAAGGATTGTAAAGTCCGCTGAGCGCCACCGCGTGGATACTGGTTTCACTGAAAGATGATAATGTGCATTATTAAATAGCCATAATTTAGAAAGGGCCTAAGAGCTTGGCATGTATGGATGTCTGTTGTCAAGACTGTGTATTCAAGTACAACACTGCATCTAAAAAAAACAAAACAGTCCTTTGCTGAATATTAACTAATTTCAAAGGAGGAAAGCTTTCTCATGTTAAGGGAAACTTTTGAAAGTTTTGCCATTTGCGATGATGTTTACATTGTATTTTTTGAGATTTGTGTTGTACCTTTTTAGCAGTAAAGAACAGTCGTAGCCATCAAATAACTCCCCCTGCTGCAGCCATAGTCAATGCAGCTGATTCTCACATTTTGTCGGGAAAACTCCAACATGCCAGAAGAATAGTTTGTACTTTCTTCCTCCTGGAACTGAAAGCCAATTTATATTTTTCACAGCAGCAGTGCGGTGAGACGTGGGGCTTCTATGATGGCTATTTCTGTGGGTCTTCAAAGAAAGCACAGTTTTTATACACATTATTCTTGTGAGCCTTTTTTTTTATAGGATGTTTTTCTTACGTTTTTCCATAACAGACAATCTGGATGGATGCTATATTTTATTTAATTTTTTTTCATTTTGCCTTTGGGTAAATTGTAAATGTATCAAAGAAGGATGTACGTAAAGTTATGTGACAAACTGTATTTATTCAGCAGTTAATCTGGAGGTACTATTTCATTCATGAGCTATTTCCAGATGTTATAAAAGCACTGATATCTGAACAGCTTTATCAGCAGGTAAAACAATACTTTGTCAAATATTTTTTCAAATATATATGTCAGTGCGCACTTTAAACTGAACAAACTATGGTTATTCCACTTCATGTTTGCTGGTATTCTAATACATTTTAGCTCAGGGTATGGAGGAGGACATCAATGAATGAAATAGGCCATATGTATTAACTGTGCAGTACCTGGAAGAGATAGTGTAACATACGAATGCAGACATCATTTAGGAGTTGTTCCATTATCTTGCACATATATGACAATATATATGGATTTGGGGATATTTGTATTCACTATATATAAGATCGTAAATGTTAATATATTTCAGAGTATGTGTATGCAAATATATGGGTACCATAAATAAAAATAATTGTTTTTTCATTGGGTATTTGTGTTTCAGTGATACCTTTCTTTCCACATCACTGAAAATACATAAACAAAAGGGAAGTACAGGGTTCATTTTTCAAACCACACTGTGAAGTCAAACTGAAACTGTAATGATTTTGTGGATTTTTTTCAGATGTTTTTCAGCTTGGGAAACGCTAGATCCTATTTGATGAGTTCGACCACAATTTCACAATTAATTTTAATTGCACAGCACAGCTTAATAACATCATCCACTAGATGTCACCTTTTATTTGTGGCTTCTTCTAACTCACTTTGACCTTTAGAGCAATTAACTCTGTTAGGTTGAGTTTATTTGTCTGTTGAACGTGATCATTTTTAACCGGGTCAGCCTGCGGGAGGCAAAGAGCAAACAAACCCAGAAGAATAAATCATTAAACAAAACTGGGAAACGGTTTTCAGCACAAGAGCAGCTGCGAAAGGCTAGCGGGAATGTTTTTACTGAGACATTAAGTGGATGTTTGTGGATAAAAAAGACACAAAAGTAGACAAATGGTTCCCAAGTACATCCGATATTTGTATAAAAAGTGCTTTTACATGATGACAATGTGACGAGGCCAGCTGTGCTGCAGGATAGCACATTATGCATACTGAATGCAGTCACACACACACACACACACACACACACACACACACACACACACACACACACACACACACACACACACACACACACACACACACACACACACACACACACTGAATGCACACACACACACACACACACACACACACACACACACACACACACACACACACACACACACACACACACACACACACACACACACTGCCATGTCATGTCTCTTTCCAGCTGACTGAAGATGAAGTATGTGGTAATAGAGGGAAAGGGGTTGCTGGTGTGGGGGAGGAGGCAGGTTGTGTGTGGGATCGGGGGTGGTGGGAGGGTGTCATTGGGGAAAACCCGCTCTGGGCTGAGGCTTCTGTGGGCCTCCACCTGACACAGCACTCAGCTACAGCACAGAAAAATAGGAAATTCCCCTCATCTTGTCTGATCTAACAAAGGAAGTATTTGCTGGCTGTGGAGGAATTTCAAAGCTGCTCTTGCCAAATTGTGTGTTGGCGTCTGTGTGTGTGTGTGTGTGTGTGTGTGTGTGTGTGTGTGTGTGTGTGTGTGTGTGTGTGTGTGGGCGTGTGTATGTGTATGTGTGTGTGTGTGTGTGTGTGTGTGTGTGTGTGTGTGTGTGTGTGTGTGTGTGTGAGAGAGCTACTGCCCTGGCTTGAGATGTTTGCCGACTCGACTTTCCTCTTACTATCTCGGCTTAGAAATGACTTCATCCTATGTAATTAGAAAAACTCATTGATCTTTTCTGTATATATTTTCTTTTAGGATTTTAATTAAACTCATGTTCACATTAACATATAAATACAATCTTGGACACCTATTACAAACAATTTAAATACAAATAAATACAAATAAATACAAACATGTGATAATAGTTGTGTACATAACTCTTGAACATAATCTCTTCAGTGAAGAGCTGTGTCTGTATCCGGTACAGCAGAGAAAGTCTAGCCTACAATCTCAGGTCAGCATAAATAATGTACAAAAAGCGCCTAAAATATATAAATAATGTTGCAAACTGTTACAGTTTATAGGATTTAAAAAAAAAGTCTGCACTGCCTGTTCGGCTACAAGTTTATCTCCATTGAGATTTAAACAGTTTTACATCACCATGGAGATGAATAATATCAAATGTAAGAAAAAAAATACACAATGTAAAAATAAAATGCCAGAACTTATGGCTTTGTATCGTATCTGTTACTATCACAGCATAGAGTAATTTCAAAGTGCAAACACACCAAAGAAGGTCCGTCCCTCGTCGGTCTCCAGCTCTGATAGCTGGTTGGTTTCCGTCCACAGTCGGTCTCCTCTGTTCAGCTGAAACACTGCGCCCAGATAAATGGCGTTGTACCACCCCTGTCCATCTCTGTAGCTGTCCACCTGTGCCGTGTTTTGGCAAGCCGACCTCACGGCGCTCATCAGAGAGGCTTTGCTGCTAATGGAGTCTGAGTAGCGCCAGATCCTGTGGCTGAGAGGTGTGAGGCCTTTACCCGCTCCCTCCTCGTCGCCATCGCTGCAGGACACTCTGAACGACGCCTGGCTGTAGACGAAGTACAGTCCTGTTTGTGGGATTACTATCTGGTTGTTCACCAGTCGAAAGCCGCCCTGAGCGAACGCTTGACCTTGACCGCTTCTCCACTCCAACTGGTCTTTCAAACTTTCACCTTCTTCGTAGATCCCTGAAAGAAGAGTAATAAGACACATTGTTAAAGCCCGGAAACATTTTGGTTGTTTTCTACAGAGGGCTTTCAATTATTACCAGAATTTGATTGAAGCCAATGAATAACTCGTGCAACAACTTCCTTAAAGTGCACCTGATCATCATACTTCTAAAAAGAAGGAAGCTAAAAATATCACAAAAGAGGAAGGAAGACTCTTTGAACGCTGCGATCATGAGCTCATTGTTGGCTGAGAACCGAATGAAACCAAGCCATGACTCACCTTCTAGATGCATGGCTGCCTTGGCTTTGCTGCTGAATCGCTTCAGTGTGGTGTGGGGATCTGAGGAGAGAAAGACAAATGTGAGCTTGTCTCAAATAATCAATAAAGCCCCAAGTATATCTAACAAACCACCTTTGGCATTTTTACTACATGAGCACCTGTGCATGTAATCACCTGTTTTCTCAGCTGTGTCCTTGTCGATCAGCGCATCTGTGTGGCCTGGTTGCGTCTGTAAGGAGAGAATATGACAAATGAATTACAAAATATAAACACAAAAAGTGCATTTCAGTAAAAATACAAGGTTTAAAAAGGTCAAATACAGAAAGACAGAGCTACTCCTTACCATGTTGTCTGGCCTTCCACTCCAGTACCAAGCAAACACTAGGATGCCCCCTACGCAAAGGGCCACGACAAGAAGGGCCACAGACAACTTTAATATCCGTTCTGTGGAGGACTTCTTTTCTACCAAGACCACCGTCCTCTGCTCAAGACCCATCTCCATGTCACTTGGTGCAGATGTGTAGGCCACCATACTGCAAATCCCTGATGTTAAATGTTTAAATTAAAAGCTCAAAATCTAGCAACTGAAACACTTTGCTGGATGCTGATGTTGATACTTCTCTCTTTGTGTTGCTATTGTGTTAAGAGTGAATTTCTGCCAGAGAGCTTGTAGTATTTATGCTGTGGCAGTGGCCTCTACAGTGGGGAAACTCCAGTGATGTCACAATGTAAGTGGAGACAGTGCAGCAGCAGCAGCAGTAGAGCGGCCTGAGCTATGGAGAGGAACTTGAACGGGAGGGAAAGTCACTGGAGTTTACCAGTGCCGAACCCAACGGGAGTCGTGGTTTCAGGATGGTAAAGTGGTTGATCTCTACTTTTAGGTTTCATAAAATGACATGCTACGTGCTATACCACACACATTGATACACAAACACACATAGTTATCCATGCACAAACATGAATAGGCTACTGTACACACACAGGGAGTCAGACACAAAGTCATAAACACATATTGATCTCATTACTGACTCGAGACACCCACAGCATGTAAGCTGTAACTGCTGAGGCTTACACAGAAATCCACCGACTCACCGACAACAAGAGGTCAGACCAGATGTTTTCTAACACCACAAAAATGTGTGGATTGTGTAAACATTTCACCTGTTTATTTCGTTTTTTATTTAGTTTTCAGCACTGTAACCACACTTTTAAGCAATCATAAGCACCATATAAACATGTAATGGTTTTACAAACTATCTTGTTGTTGTAAGCAGCTGTAAGGACATTTTCATTTGTATTATGCATTTGTATAATATTACAGTATGTGAAACATAATTCTCAGATTGCATGAAAAGTACTGTAGGTTAGATGAGTTTGTTTTTTCCCTTTTTTATGACTTCATACTTTTGAAATCCCTGATCTCAATCTCTAAAGAGAAAAGTGTTTTAAAAGCAAAACTTGGCAACACCGTCGTCTTTCTGTTTCAGAACTGTGAGTGATGCAACTGGACAAACTGGTTTTAGACTTCTCCTTATTGGCAACTGTCTCTGCCTTGGATTTTCCATTTCCCTTTTCTCACCTGACGTCTGACAACACAAGTGAGGGCATTTCATCACACATGCCTAAAATATCATTTCAGTTTTGTTTCCATTGTCCAGTGGATTTTTATTTTTAGCAACACTTTATTGATATTTTCCATTTAATTTCCCTTGTATTTGAATTATTTGCGTGGGTGTGTGTGTGTGTGTGTGTGTGTGTGTGTGTGTGTGTGTCTGTGTGTGCGTGCGTGCGTGCGTGCGTGCGTGCGTGCGTGCTTGCGTGTTTCCTCATGTGTGAAATCCGTGGTGGAATCACACCTCCGAATCTGACTGTTGCATTCCTACATGCAAACACAAACTGACCGCAAGGTATTGCAGAATGATATCATTCATCATCACCATCATCTTATGCGACAAGATGACACACACACACACACACACACACACACACACACACACACACACACACACACACACACACACACACACACACACACACACACACACACACACACACACACACACATACACGCACACACACAGAAAAACACACACTCACACACACACACACACACACACACACACACACACACACACACACACACACACACACACACACACACACACACACACACAATCACAAATCAGTCCTAGATTTAGCTAGACGGATCCAACTCCCAGGATATACTGTACATACAATGGAAAAACATATAATTTCCCCCAAATTATGAGTGGGAGAAATAGCCCATGAACTCTGACAAGTGGATCATCCTCACTGCAAACAATAGGGATGCTGTCATATCTGGAACATGTTCAAGTTTTACTAAAAATGGACACATAATCACACAAATAGACATTTGATAAAGTGCTTTTTCACCTGCTCAAGGGAGATTAACATGAACACATTCTCAAGCAGCATTGTTTATGCCATCATGGGTGAAGTAAATGTAAGTCACAAAGTTTATCCAAAATAATTGCATAAATGTAATGAGAAAAAGGAAAGGAAAGATATATGGGAATATAAAATATGATACATAAATAAACACACAGGAAAAAGAGTGTGATACAAATGTATATAACATTGCACATTATGTGGCACTACTGGCAGTTATGATGATAGCACATTCTTATGTAAACAGTCAAACATAAGATCTTTCCAGATCAAAGGGAAATAGATATACAATCATCAAACCAAGCCATGTATCCCTTAGTTCCCATACCTTGTTGATATTACCTGTGTTTCTTTTGTAAAATATAGGTCACTGAAATTGATATAAATAAATAAAAAGTGACAAATAACCATGATTTGCCCGAATGTGCTCTGAAATGACCACCTCATTCACTATAATTTATATCATGCTGTACAATCTGTTGAGCTTCAAAACATCCCCTTTCCCAGTCAGAGGTCATCTGTAATATGTAACTCACAAACACCCACTGGATTTGGTTGAGAGACAAATACCTCTTTTCATGGAGCCGGGGGAATATAGAACGGTAACTAAAGCTCCCCAGTGTGAGCCTTCATATCTGGGTGCCCTTTTCCTTCCCCTGTGAGCCTGAATCATTATCAGTCCTCTACTAATCGCATGGTGACATATTCCCAACATTGAACTCCCCCTGTGATATCTAGAAAAAAAATCCTTTTGTTCTTTGCTGATTTTGCTCTTAGATTGAATCATGAAATCCCAGGATGCGGTCATCAGGCTATGGAGCTCAGTCATAATTCCTTACAAAGATTGCATCAGGGCAAGAAGGAAACGATTTAGGAAAGAATAGCAAAAGGAGGACAGGGGGGCAAGGATGTAGGAAATGGAGAAAGGAAGCTGTCGTAGGCGAACAGCATTCAACGTTTATGCAGTGAGTTTCATTTTCGGATTTGACTGGTGACACAATCACAGGTGCCAGATTTTGAAGAAACAAAAAAGCCACATCAAGAAGGTTTTGTATTCCTTCTCATCATTCCTTCTTCAGTGTTGCTGTATGTGGGCTCAGTGCAAGATGTGGTTGTGAAAGGGAATAACCTGCGCCAAAATGAGGTTTCACTACAAAGGCACAGTGGCTTCTGCTGCCACTTGTCTGTATGTCTGGTGGCCTACATGCCTCCGCTAGGCCTCCAAAAATGTACGCTTTAAGTGTTTAACTCCTCGTTTCCTTATATTACCAAAAGATAAGATTAGGTGCTTATCTGAATCTGGGATTTTACATTATCCATTAGCCATAACCATGATATTAGCTATTTACAAACTCTAGAGGTTTACAGGGTCAACATTTTCATTGAACTAAGTGAAATACATTTGTTTGATTTCATTTGAGAAAGTGCCCCTGAGATAAGTATAATAAACATTAGAGGACATTCAAATGTTCTTACACAATATGTTTTAAATGTTACGTGTGTGAAAAAAGAAGGCATGAGGAAGCCACTGCTTTCCAGGGGCAGAATTTGCACTACTAGGATCAAAATATACCCCCTATTAAATGCAATATGAATGTGTCATGGTTGGATTGCCACAGCTTGTGTGATACAGCGAACAAACCGACAAAGATCCATAGTTTTCTTAAAAGGATTATACTCATTTATAACAATTTGTGTCCCATTGTTTAGAGTTTCTCTTATTATTTCTTATTGGTAATAATAATACGGTATAGCCTATTCAAGCTCCTTTTGGAGGTCAGGGAACATATAAACATTTCTTTAAAAAATTAAGATTGGGCAATCATTTCAAGTATATGGAAAGGTATTTTAAAGAAAACACAGGAAAGTTTTTCTGTGGTTGTGCATTCAAGGATTACCAATATTATGGATGCCCTACATTTCAGTTTAACCTTCATTCACATCGAGCGTTTCAAATAAAATGCCTAATTTGTCAACTTGTCTGATGATTAAATAATCCATTAAAATATAAATATTATATATTTTATAACAAATATTATTAATTTATTCTTAAAACTGGGCCAAACAATCAATTGATTATTCTAAACTAGGAAATACTGAGATGTTACTACAGCCATAGTTTATATAGCCTAGCAGGTTTTTTTTAACAGACGGAATATAAATAATCTGTTAACTCTATCTAGTGTGTTCACAGGCGTTACACATTTCTAAAATTGGAGCAACATTAGCATTCAGTTGACTTGTAGTCTGGTCCTGTTCACCTGAAGCAGGTAAGGATAAAATCCACAGTTTTTTAACTCTCATTTTATTTTACATGCTCGACGTGTTCACCAACTGACTTTAGCCGCTAACAGTCTGGCCGCTATGTAGTTTAGGATAAGTGGGTTAGCCAGCTAGCTTAGCTCTGCTTTTCGGTATCAAGAAGCTAACGATAACCATGGTAACCCATGCTGCGCTGCTAGCTAGATTAGCATAATTCTACCTACAAACTGTCCTACTTACTGACAAAGTTAACAATAAAGTGACTTATGATATAGAGCAATATTTAGTGTAACGTTACTGGTAAAAAACAAGATGAGTCGGATCCTTTCGAAACATGACAAAGCACATAAAGCCATGGTTGTAAGCTAAGTGTATTTAGCAATAGAACAATTAAGATACAAGCAATTTAAAAGTGGGCCATGGCAATCAAAGAACACAATACTGCATTAAAAAAAACAAAAACGAGAACAAGCCCCAAAAAAATAAAAATGTTTAAGCCATGTATTAAATGAGTTTTAACACATTTCAGTTATTGAGGGAGCGTGTTTTACAAAGATGAGTAGCATAGAAACTAATAATTGATTATGACGAATACAATATGTCTTGGCTGTGCCTGTGTCAAACAATTGAATTCAAAATGTAGACAAATGTCACAGTGACTGAGAGACATTTGCAATGCGTGCAGTACTGTTACTTTTAGAGTTTAAGACCTTTGACATTTGAAGACTTGCAAACACTTTCTCAGTTTCACTTCTACTGCTGTTCCTTTTAGCAGAAGTTGATGGTAAAAGTACTAAAAGGCATTTAAAAATATATTGCTGAGAAGAAAAGCATTGTTTCCAGCTTTCCCCAGTGCCTGGGAATTTAAATGCCACATTCCAGTCCAAGGTCCACTTCTCTAATCTCTCGGGGTTATA